TTACATGGCAGCTTTTAAATATATTGGTGGTGTTTTTTTCTGCCGATAACAGTGTTTTTGAAGCTTATCTAACATCAACTCCAAGAATGAAATTATTACTTCAGGAAACAGAACAAGGCAGGCTGCATTGTCGAGACTCACAGTTCCAAACAGAGTTTGGCCAGGATCAGGCCACGATGTCTCCTTTTTCATCTGAAAAGTAAGGGCATTACTTGTTTTTTACTACATGCCAAATATGTTCTGAGGCTCAAACATTAACAAAGGTAATAGAGCATCACAACATTTGTAAAGCACTTCATAAATGTAAGGGAAAGGGTATTGTGTGAGCACCCAGGAACAGTGAAGCTTCTCAATCTGTTGATCTTCATTTGCTGTGCTTCATTCTGAGCGGGTCAAGCAGCCTCATCGCAAGAGTTTAAAAATGATGAGGGGCTCGAGCTCCCTAGCACTTCCACAAGTAACGGGAAGAAGTTATTTGTCAGAGTTAAGAAAAAAAACTAAGCGGCATGATCTATTTTAGACTTCCAACTAAAGATAGGATATAGTTTTACAGCAGAATTTGAAGCGAAGACTCTCATGGCACCCTGCCTCAGGCAAAGGGCTGGGAGTCCAATAATGGATAGAATCCCAGCTCTTACATAAGAGCACAGTGATTAAAGGAAACAGGAACTCCAGATAGAGCTGTTCTGATCTAAACCCCATTTCCTGTCTGTGTGACCCTGGAACATGACATGACCTCTGTGTGCCTCAATCCCATCACTTGTAAGATGATGCATATAGTAGCAGTACCTATTGTTGTTGTTGTTGTTTTAACCCACCCCCATAGGATTATGCTGAGAACTGAGTGAGTAAAACATTATTTGAAGGCTGAGGATTTAAGTGGTACAGTGTTTCTCTACAATGCACAACCCTGGGTTCAATCCCCAGCACCACAAAGAAAAAAGAAACAAAACAGTATCTGGCTCACAGTAAGCGCTGTTTTTGTTTGTTTGTTTTTAATAAACCTCTACTTTACAGAATTCGTGGGAATAGTAAATAAGATACACATAATTTGCTTAGTAAGAGGACTACAGGAAGTTACTCATGTTTAAAAATCAATGGATATAGATTTGTAGGTAGATGAGTAGACAATTTGCTGCTGACTTCAGTCCTGGGATTGCCCAAAGCAAGTTTACCTCCTAGTGTTCAAAGTGACCTGACTAGGAGAATGGACTAGGGTAGGGCGAGGAGGTGCCCAAGCAGGAACCTTGGTAATAGAACTGACTATCTCCTCAGGAATGTTGCCAGGAGCACTAGCTACCTGACCTCACTTAGGCCTCACTCCCTTTCCATGAGCCCAGGATTTCAGAACTATTCATCTTATCTATAGAGCCTGGCTTATAGATGCTGAACACCACACCAACGGTCCCCCAAACACTCTGTGGCAAATCCAGAACTTGCGGCTGGACTCCAAGGCCTGGCATAGGCATTCACAGAGAACTTTGGTAACCTCAGTCACCTGTCACAATTTCTAAAAGTACTAATTAAGATGTTTATTGGTATGTATTTTTCTTGCTGCTAATCTAACTTTTAAATTAAGTATAAATCCTCCCCTAAACTATAAAATGAAGCTTTTTAAGTACAAGAGTAGAACCAGTGTCACCAATTTTAAACTACATTTTAAAAAACAAAACCAAAAACAACAACAACAAATTTAACACAAATAGATTCTCCATATACCAGTGTGTAATCCAGTACTATTTTACTCTGATGAAAAATAATCTCTCTTGCCTTCCTTGAGAATTTCATATGTAGACTTACTTTTTGGACTAGTACAATAAAACTATCAACAGTAACCTCCCTGAGCAAGAGAGTGAGAAAAGAAAACAGGAGGGATACAGATATCTTACTTTCCAGGAAGGGACTGAAAGTAGCACTGAAAGAAAAAATACCCTTCTTAATCCCAGTGTTCTGTAAATAGACATTTAAAAAAACTACTTAAACAAAGCAAAATATATGCAAACTGCCAGAAGAAATACATTTTTTTAAACCAATGAAGATGTTGCTTCTGGTTTTCTTTAGAATTGTGAGGTTTTCCCAAACTGATTTCTATAACTTTAACTGAACATAAAAATCTATGTGAACTAGGGAACACCTGTAATCCCAGCTACTCAGAAGGCAGAGTCAAGTTCAAGGCCGGCCTGGGTAACTTGGGGGAGACTCTATTTCAAAATTAAAAATAAAAAAGCTGGGCATGTGGCCCAGTGGAAAAGCACCCCTGAGTTCAACCTGCAGTACTGCAAAAGAGAAAAATGAATGAATGAGAGAGATACTTTGGTCTCCAAAACTCTTGACTCCAACTAGAATAAACTATTCCCTCTACCATGATGGTACTGACAATGGATTCCCCTATTGATACTGAAAATGGGCTCTGCCCCATTTTACCCTTGACTGTCCTCATAAGTAGGATGTTGACTATGCCAATAAGGTTCTACCTTTACCATTCATCACTATGGGCCACTGGAGCCTTCCACAGTAATTAAAGGCAAAAAGTATCCAAACACAAACAGAGCTTTCTTGAAAATAAATTCTCTATTCCCTCTCTGTACTAGCTTATCAAAAAGAAGAGAGGCTACCGTTCCTACCCCAAAACAGAGCCCTCTGCATGAATCCCTGGGAGGCAGGTAAAGCAGAGGAAGAAGAATGTGTCCAAGTCACAGGCCAGGTCTCAAAACACATGATCTTACAATCTGTCATACTCCTTTCAGAGCAGACCACTGTCTTCCTGAACATGGAGTAATTTAGGCAAGGTTTCTGGAAGACAAGACACTGCAATTAATGTTTGGTGAAGGATGTGCTGAGAAGGATGCAGGAACCTTTAAAAATGTCTAGTCACTTACTTACTTGCCAAATTCTTTTTCTTTTCTTTTTTTTTTAATACAGTATGTTGTTTGTTTTTTTTTTTTTTAGGTCTTTTTTTTTATTGGTTGTTCAAAACATTACAAAGCTCTTGACATATCATATTTCATACATTAGATTCAAGTGGGTTATGAACTCCCATTTTTACCCCGTATACAGATTGCAGAATCACATCGGTTACACATCCACATTTTTACATAATGCCATATTAGTAACTGTTGTATTCTGCTACCTTTCCTATCCTCTACTATCCCCCCTCCCCTCCCCTCCCATCTTCTCTCTCTACCCCATCTACTGTAATTCATTTCTCTCCTTGTTTTTTTCCCATTCCCCTCACAACCTCTTATATGTAATTTTGTGTAACAATGAGGGTCACCTTCCATTTCCATGCAATTTCCCTTTTCTCTTTAATTATCTCTTTTTCTCTTTAATTATCTTAAAATGAAGTATGATTTCATTGTATCTGTAGGCTTTTAATGATACTGATGGTAGATGACACCACTGTCCCTTTGGGAAAAGAATAAAAATATATGTCATGCTTTAGTTTTGATTAATAAAGCTTTGTATGGCAAAAAAAAAAAAAATTAAAAAAAAAAGTCTAGTCACATCCTGGCCATCTCCAATGGTCTTAAAAAGATTGTTTAATCTCTGGAGCCAAACTGAAAAAAATCTCCAAAAGGAAAAAAACAATTTTTTTTTAGAAAAAAAATAAATAAAAACATATATTCCATGTTCACATAATGTTCTGCCAAAACCCATGCACAAGGACCACATGCATTTTGGGACAAAAAGTCTTTGCTGTGTAAGCTGTGAGGCCTTCTGCTGCCCCTGAAGCAGAGCCTGGGAAAGCAGCAAAGACGCTATCTTAAAAAGTAGATTGGGCTTGGGGCAGTCACACAGCTATGTACCACTTCTAGCAAAATTTTGATGAAAAGTGAATATCTGCATTTAGGGTGCTATATTCCCAGCCTTCACCTCCTCTTCAATGCTTCACCATGTCTATTTTAGCAATGTTGACTACTGGTGTTAGCATGTCGTTTAGGATTACTCAATTTCAGGTTTCCTGTCCCATGAAATATTTTACACAAGTTATCAGGAGATAATGTGCTGCTCACCAGTTCCCTTTTGTTAGTCATCCCCCATTGCTAACAGAATGCACTCTCTTCTATTTTCTTGATCCAAAAAGACCTTCCATCACTAACCCAAAAAATAAAAATAAAATAAAGCCTCCAAAAGAATCTCAGTCCCTTGGCTGTCATGCTCCCAAAGCTAGGACTCACTGCTGCACTGCCCTGTCATAGTTCTTGCCCTTTTCTCAACGTGATGGCACCACCATTCTTCAGTTATCACAGTACTGTACCTTTCAGATATACAGCATCGGTACCATGATAACCGAAAAAGGACAGTTCAGTCTCATATCTAGCTGAGTATTCTCCCTCCCAACTTACCACCCACAGATGGACATATAATCATCATGAAGTACATAAGCACATGAGTATGCCAACTGAAGTCAAGTACTCCAATAGGATGTTTTCAGCAATCTCACTATTGATGGAAAATGCTTCTGGTACTGTGCTCTTCATAATTAGTCTTCTGACTAGCTTCTCTTTTTGTTTGCTTTCTTACCTCAGCAGTCAATTTCTGCTAGCATCCAACTGCCAAACTCCCCACTACAATTTCCTTACTAGTCTAGTAATATTACTATAAACTTTGCCTTTCTTCATCATTTCTAGCCAGCTAATACCTATCATTTTGGAGAGAAGGACAGCCCATTTGAGGGACTTAAACTAAGAACAAAATCCAAACTATATAGAACCAGAAATTAACCTCTAAAATTGAAGCAAAATCTAAAGCACAGACAAAAGAAGAACTACTCAATAAATATCTTGTAACTTCCGTTACATGGAAATAAGTGGGTAAGAAGAGGAAGGCAGCAATCCTTGTATGTAAAAAAAAAAAAACATCAGGTCATGAGCAGTAACTACCAGTTCATTTAAGCAGGTGGTCACATGATGGGCTATGCACAGGGCAACATTTCTATCATTTCTACAATTAGAAAATTAAACTGGACAGAATAATGAAGTTGAAAGAAAACGACTTACGTATAAGGAGAGAGTGGTCCTAGCAGAACTTTGGAAACATCCTGCTGTCCAAGGGTCATTAGCAATAGAGCCAGACTTTGATTTGTCGAGTCCACACATCCACCCTGTAAACACAAACACTTTAATGATTAATCATTATACAAACCAGAAAATGGAAAACCAGCAAAAGAAGGAATGAGGGAAAACCCAGAAACACTCAGAATGTTAGAATGTACTAAATAGGAGACTACAACGTTCAAGTAATAATAAAACAGAACACAGGTCTTATAAGAGTAAACCCTGTATCAACTAACATGAGGAAGTTAAACTAACAATTCAGCAAAGCAATTATAAAGCTGAGACAATCAGAATGGATAACATTCAAATTTCCTGAAGTCAATCTAGTGAAAAATGAAACTTTCCCTTGGTAACTGAATAGCAGTGAGACATCATTTTATTAAGTATGAGGAAAAAAGGCAAATTCAAGGAAATATTCAGTTAATTTCAGAGTTAAGTGCAGTATGTTTATATTTCTTCAATCTGTCACAAAACAACACAGTCAACCCGACATCAAAGCAGCTTTCCCTTTAAAGAACCCTACTCCTACACTTATTCCAACCACTCAGAATCTGCTGGTCATGCTCTTAATTCTCTTCTTCACTTCTTCCTGAGTGTCTTGAAACTGGAGAACTGTTACTGTCACATCCCTCCATACTTATTACTTATACATTATTTCCTCCCCATTTTCTTTCTTTTTTCTTCCAAATCAATAAGCAGAACAGGAATCTCTTCAAAAACTTCCTCCCAAGACACAGCTGCTTTGGTTGCCTTTCTTCTTTTGTTCATTTTCTCAACCACTTCAATTTGCTTCTAGGCATTACTGCTACTTAAACTTGTCTTAAAAATGTCTTAATTTCGGATCATTCTTTCAGGTTAACTTTAGTTGCAACAATTTAAACCTTACATTGTACACAGGGCATGTAGGATGACCTAGAATTTCTACCTATTTTGCACAGGTCACATGTGGCATGCTGCTGTCCCAGGTTAGACTCTGAATAGAATAAGTGGCCAGTCAGTACTGTTCATGGGGGACATTCCCTTCCTTTTTAATGCATGCAGGGTAAGAAATAAATCAGTTCTCAGGTACACTCATTTTCTGGCTGTCAGATTTCATTTAGTAACCTTGACAAAAACATAGGAAATAAGGGGGGTTATCCTACTGCTAGTGTTAATTAAAATTTATTGCTCTTCCTCAATTACCTAATAAAGAATAGGGAACTATGTTTATCTCACTCAGCAAAATTTAGGACAAAAGTTCCTTTTCCAAACAAAATCCGAAATCTCACCAACAAAATTAATTCTGTTTTACGGATCTTGCTCCCTTTCATAATACTGCCTAAAATCAAACTGTTCTCTTCCGGCTCTGCTTCCTATCACTATGCTGTTATTGCACCATTTTCAACTGATTCTTATTAGATACTGGACCAATATTTTAATGCAATAAATATGTTAGGGTCCTTTGCAGGATACCAAGGAGGAAGTCATGGGAGCTACCAGATGCCAAGGCATGGGATAGGTTGCCTGCCACTTACCCAATACCAGAGGGAGGCTTTGGGAAGCAGGGACTTGAACTGTCCCTGAACAGATGAATAGGCTTTGGAGAGGAAGAGCAGGACAATGGGAAATAATGAGCCAGGGCCAGTGTGGAACAACCGTAGGGGGAAGGTGGGGTAGCCAGACCGAGGAAAGGCTTTCCTAACTGGGTTAAGAGTACTGACTTTATCTCAGGAAAGTGAGAAGCCAGGGAAGGTCCCTGAACATAGAAGCAAAGAGATCAACACAGTGTTTGGAGGGATATTTAGACTGCAAAGGAGGCTGGAGAGGATTTAGAAAGGACTTCTCTGGGCCAGTGTCCATGTATAATCCAGGTCTGAGGTGAGGTGAGGTGGGATGGGATGGGCAGGACAGGAGGGAAGTTCCTGGAAGTCTGGTACAGAATCTAGGGGCTTAACAATCAATAAACAAAGGAATTGGGTCAGAGGCTTAAAATTTTGGTAAAAATAAGGAGCACCTTCAAAAGTGGTGGATTTTTATTACTCATTCAAATCATGTTGCATCACAGATCTGTAAAGAATTACTTTAAAAAGCATGAAGTATATTCTTTTACCAAGTAAAGATTATAGTCACACAAAGAAGTTTTCTTAATGATTAAAACAAAACAAATTTGGTCAAAAAATAACAAAATGGTTTAATAAAGCTCTTAAGTAGAGTAAGGGGGGAAAAAAAGGGGGGGGAGGGCCTAATCCAGATTGTTTGTTTTTCCTCTTGTGGACTGGTGGGCTGTGCTTTCACCCTGAGGCTCATAATTCATTCCAGCTGTGCCTGTGGGCTCCCTAAGACTGCTCTAAAATGTGACGCTTTCAATTCTCCTAAGGTCTACTAGAAAGGAAGAGAAAAGGGCCCATGGTCCAAGGGAGGGCTGGTCAGCCACCACAGGATCAGGTAAAGTAACCCTAAATAATTCAACAACGAGCTTGGGTACACACATATTACATGCATCTTTTTGCCTCTCACAATGTATAGATGGCAAATGTCACGAATTAATTAACTGGCAGATCAACCTCTTCATCACTGACTTTCAAACTTTTAGCTACTACCCATCTTTCAAAACTATCACCAAAGCTAGTAACAAAAAAATGAACTGATTTAGCACCAAAACTCTTGCAGCAGATCTTGACTGCATGAGACCTGTAACAGGACACTTCCTCCTTGAGGAGAATTTTACCTCCTTCCTCCACTATGGTCCCACTGTGAGACAAGAAGAGGGGGTGGAGCCACTGTCCACAGGGTACAGCTATAATCCTTTGTCTTCCATTTTTAATTAGATGAACATTATTACATAAATCCACTTAGGACTTGGAAATTTTAATTAATTCTGAAACAGTTCATTCTCACTTATCTCACCTTGTGACCAATGAGATATTTTCAAGAACACTGGCATAATCAGGGAAGCAGACTATGACAGTAAACTGTCTTTCACTGTAAGGCCTTTCAAGGGAGCAATACCCAGAATCCAGGCTCCTCTGCACTACAGAGATTAATAAACTGAACCAGTGGCAAAAGGTAGGATTAAAAGAAAAACAAAACCACCAGTGTACCCACTTAACTGATTTTATTTCACTGGCTCAGATGTGATTTTTGCTACTTTAAACAGGATACAACTTCCTTGGAGACCACAAAGATGACTAAAAACCAGAAAGAAATACATAAATAGTAAGATGGAAACTCCTTAGATGGAAAAGAGAGAGAATTTACAAATATTAAACACCCTCCAACAGATTTTATATTCAAGATTTCTTGAAAATTTTGAGTGCAATCAGTCTCTATTCCTACATGGCAACAACTAAGGGAGATGACAGCCAAGCCATCTGGCTTATGTTCTTACTAGTGTCTAGCCCAAAAATGTGGAGCCTACCATCCCTCAGAACCTGGCCTGCACTCTGCACATGTTGGGAAGGGTTTTGTCTTTTTGAGGCAGAAACAAGGCAAAAGAGAGTATAACTGATCAAAATTCTGGTACTAGGTTTATGACACTCTTCTAACCTAGTACATGGCATTTTGGAGAATGTACTTTCAGACAGCTGCATCTTATTCCTACTGCCATCATCTTCTCTTCCCTCACAATTTCTTCCCTTACTTTAGGTCACCCTCAGCTATTTTGGGGAATCAATAAAAGTATATGCATGCTTATGTGCACTTTGCATGCATGGATTAACACAGAAAGATGGTCACTAAGGCAGGTTGATCTGAGCTGTGTCCCATCAGCAGAGGTGCAGAAGCAAACTGATAATCAGCTGAAGTCTGTCCTCAACGTTGTATTGTCTTTTCTTTGCCCCAGGTTCTCGTGCTTTCCAAAGCCCACCATGGTATGACACTGGCCTGCTTTCCCTAGACATTCATCTATGCTCTAGAATAGATTGTAAAATCCAACCTGCTGACATTAATTTATACTGAATCAATGGTCACATGCAAAGCCAGATTTCCACTTTTTCTTGAAAATCCTGAATGCAAGGAGTCCCCATTCCCACATGGCAACAACTAAGGGAGATGACAGAATCTGTCTAGTCAGGGCAGTATACTAGTCACTAGTCTCACCTTACCTGCTTTATTTTTTTAACCTTCACTCTTTTGCCTATTCCAGTTCTTTCTCTGCCCCCATTAAAACTTCTTTGCTGTAGTTAATGCTAAACTGTTTGATAAATAGGTGCAGATTAACTCCTTGGCTTAAGCCCTTGGAGAACACCAAGAATGGGTGACACCAAACTGCTTTTCCCTGATTACTCTTCTCCTAGCACAAGCAGAGGATGAGGACATACCCTGTAGATTTCTTCGAGCAGAAGCCTGGCACAGTTCTTGCCAAGGTCCTCTGGAAGCACAGCTGCTCCTTGGCCCTGTGGGTTGGAGGCCAGTTCAGCACCAAGGAAGGTGCCATTGGTGGTCTCAGCAACCAGTGACAACCCAAAACCTGGAGACCTAGGGATTCAAAGACACAAGACACTTAGTTGGTAAAGGTACATGGGCCAGCAAGTAGAGAACAGAAACATCTTTTGGATGGCACTGTGTCCTAAAGCTTCCTTCTGTTTGCATGAAGCATTACAGTGCCTGTAGCTTACACTGGAAATAACAGATGGCATAGTGAGGTCACACAAAGCAGAACTAGCAGAGATGTAAGTTTGCATTGCTTTACCTCTTAGCCCTCCACTCCCTTCCCTCCTTAGCTGCAAAAGCTCTTACTGTGAGAGTTTGTAACAATCAACAGTACCTGATAACCTCAAGGGCTATCAGGTATTGAGTACCTACTTTCCACCAGTTATGGAGCTAGGGAGCTTTGCAAATAATACTTGTGATACTACAAACGCTGCATGAGCTATTATTATTTTAATTTTACAAATAAGAAAAATATTGAGATTAAGCAGTCTGAACCAAGTCCACATATCTATACAGTGACTGAAATGAGTTCCAAATGCCCATCTTACAGACCCAAAAGCCCCAGAAGTTCTCCACCACAGCACTCACTCCAACCCATCACCAGCAGCCCAGGAGGCATATAGGCTCTGGAGACCACTGATCAAAACTTTCCTTGAGAAACATCAGGCGTTTTTCCCAAAACGAAAATCATGACACAAACCAGACCGGGCCTAGATAAGACATACCTTTACATTTTTGTCCTCATAGGATAGCACTAAACTCAGAATTCAATTAATATAACCAAAGAGCTTGCACTATGTTCTCTCTCATAATGTTTCTACCACCCAACAGCCAAACTCTAACATAACACCCTGCTTGTTCTGGACCACAGCAGACTCTTTCACTCATGTATCCAACAAGCATCTGAGGGAAAGCACCCACAGGCCAGGAACTGGGGGTACTGTGGTAAACACAAGAGTAGCAACCAGTTTAAACACACACATACACACACACAAAGCCAATGAAAACAACATTCCATAAACAATAAAAAAAAGTACCTTTTCTCAAAATTTTAAGACTTGGTACCTCAAATCTACTTTGCCTCTTAAGTAAAAGTGTTATCAAGAAAGATATAGTTCTCCCAACAGCAGTCACATGTGACTTGCAATCACAACAAATGACCTGCTTTCTTCAACACAACTCAACATTGCTCATGAAGTACCTTCTGTCTGTCCAGCAGAAAACTAGCCAAAATTATTTGTTTGAGAAAAACTATTTATGACATTAATAAGGTTTTAAGTATACATGAGATCACGATGTGGAAGAAGTATACTGATCAGTTATTTGAAAATTAAATTGTCACCAGGAGTGGTGGTGCATCCCTGTAATCCTGGGTATTCAGGAGGTTGGGGCAGGAGGATCACAAGATCAAGTCCAGCCTGAATAATTTACCTCAAAATAAAATTTAAAAAAGGACTGGGGATGTAGCTCAGTGTTTGCCTAGGATGTGTGAGGTCTTGAGTTCAATCCCCAGTTCCATAGGGGGAAAAAAAGAAACAAATAATTTCAATTAATTCAATCATCTAATCAGTCAATATTTAGTAACACCTGCTAAGAGAAAGGGGCACAACAACTTACCCACTTAAGCAAAGGCTCAGGGCACTCTGACTCATGTTTAACAAGCTAACATTACCCACCATCAGAAATGCCTAAAAATTCTAGCACGACCCCAAGTTGCCTTTGAGTCACTTGACCAGGAGGAGGAGGGTGATGGCACACAGCTTATCACAGAGGAAGTAGCATGCAAAAAAAAACAGAAAAGAGAGGAAGGGAGACCCAGAAGACAGGCTGATACTGCTGCTTTAACCCACTGACCTGCATTTTCAAATTTTCCTTTCCATGTGAATTTTTTAAGGTGGTTAAATCAGTACTGTTCCACTTAGTTGTTTTCTTTGTTGATACTGGGGATTGAATCCTAAGTTAACCACTGAGCCACATCCCCAGCCCTTTTCATTTTTTATTTTGAGACAAGGTCTCGTTAATTTGGTTAGGGCCTTGCTAAGTTGTAAGTCGCTTTGAACTTGCAATCCTTCTGCTTCAGCTTCCCAAATGCTAGGATTACAGGTATACACCACTTCACTCAGCTCACATAGTATATTATGCAACTTTTAGAGAAAATAAAGAATATATAAAGAATATACATTGAGCTTTATGTATATTACTCTTATTTTCCCCTCAATTTGGGGTGGGTACATTATTGGGCCTAATTTATGTTAGGTTGACAACGCAGCAAGCCATCAGGTGACCTGATTATCTGCATTGGTATAGATGAAAAGGAGAGCCTCCAAATAGGAATGGGCTAGGAAACAAAGTATTTACTCTGAGAGTGAAAATTGGTCACAGTGAACTGATACGCATGCTAGTCATAGCACTGACACAGACCACCAAAAATTGCCAGCCCTCTGGGTCTTGGACCATGGCCACAGAATAAATTCTCACTCATCACTAATGGTAGGTGATGTTAAATAAACTCACTCCTATATTTGAACAAGCCAACTTGTGGATATTTCACTGAATTAGAAGAGAAAAATACACATCCATGACTTCATTAATTTTAAAACCAGAGAAAAAAGATCATCATTTGTTATCTCTAACTGGAAATTTAGAAAATTAAACACAAACTTAACTCATACATTGGTTTTATGTCATTTTGCAAATGGAGCATGGAGTCAATGACCCATGGATCTATATCATGTCCACATCTTGATTCATATGTAGTAAGGCTTCTTTCTACTCACTGTTAGCAAGCATGAAACTTGATCATGCACTAGGGTCAGCTGAGTCAGAGGCATTATTAAAAGCTCCACTATAGCTGGTAGCAGTCAGCATGGACTTCAGGCCTGCTCTGCTTCATTCCTGCCCACTTATTGCTAAAGCTATCAACCAGATTTAAAAAAAAAAAAAAGGACTATCAAGATCAGGCCACTTGGACAGCTTCTGCAGCTACCTATCCTTCCCTAGCCCTCTGTAATCCTTCTCCAGAAAACAGCTTGACAACATAATTCCAGACTTACAGCCAAGATGGGAGTGGGGGAGGGACAGCAATAGCAGGCAGGCACTGTTTCTGTAGCAACTACCTTCAATGTGTAAGTAAAGAAAATATTATTGATGCTTGAGTAATAAATCAAAGTTTTGAAGACATCATTGACTTTCCCAACCCCCAGCTTTGCACAGAAATCCTTTCCCAACCCTGACCTCTGACACCACCACCTTTGTTGCTTTGAACTATGAGCCAACATCATATTTCTGAAATCACCTTCACCAAGGTCAAAGATCTTCACTCACACTTAACCCCTTTCCCCACCGTTCCTCTTTTCTTTTTGCTAAGTTAAAATAGACCTTAGGTGGGAAAACTGTGAAAAGGATCAGCTATGGTACCACTTAAGAAAAAGTTAACTTTGACCCACAATAACCAACTTCACACTATTTTTAGGAGACACAACCTAAAAACTTCAGATTCAAAATGTAATGACGCCATCGCTCACACTAAAATGATTCAGCAAAACAGAAAAACAAAACCCGCAAAGAAATAAAGTAAATGTGGCAAAACACTCATTGCTAACTATAAGCAATAGGAAGCTATGCAGGTGTTCACTGTACTATTCCTTGAATTTTCTGTAGGCAATAAACAAAAATGGATTTAATTGCTTCCCTACCTTCCCAGTTTCTAAATACACAAACAAAACCCAAAACAGGCATTATGCAGATCATTTCTTTCTCTATTTACATTTTAATTTTCCTTCAAATTTTTTTCTTTCTTTTTTTTTTTTAAATATTTATTTTTTAGTTTTCGGCAGACATCTTTGTTTTATGTGGTGCTAAGGATCAAACCCAGGCCGCACGCATGCCAGGCGAGTGCACTACTGCTTGAGCCACATCCCCAGCCCCATTTTTTTTTTTAATATTTATTTTTTAGTTTTCGGCAGACATCTTCAAGTTTTTTTCTATTTTTTAAAATTTCAGTTTATATTTAGTTTTTTTAATTTTTTACCAAAGGCTTTAAGTAAACTCAATTCAAATCTGCAATAACAACTTTCTCTGGATCTAGGTGTGTTGTTATTACAAATGGAGAAAGAAGCTGACTTGCAGGTAAATGACAGAGAATTTTTTCCCCCTGTACTGTTATTTGTTCAGGGTGTAAGAATCTGTTCATTTTAAATTTTTGTTGGGCTAGAGTGTAGATGGAATTAAAGCCCAAATCACTTTTTATTAATAGATAGGTTTAATCCCCAATGGTTAAGAACTAGACCCTAAGCTCCTAGCCCTGGTCACTGGGATGTTTTCCAAGTGACAGTGACTCAGAAGTGCCTATTGGTGATAGAAGCAATAAGTTAGAAGGAAATTAATTCTGAAATAATTCTTCCCCTGCTACCCAACCTCAGAACTGGCAGTTTTAACTTTACCCAGAAGAGACATGTAGCTACCAAAGGTAGTTACAAAAGTAGATTCCAAAATGAAGACACTTACTTCCCAGAGTTGACTCCTTTCATGTGATCTGTGTAAATATAGATATCAGGTATGAACTTGTTGAGGATGCCCCTTGCAGAATCCACGATCCTGTTTGCCATCTGAGGTGATACACGTACAGAGTACCTGCAATCTGGAGTTAAGGGTGTCATGTTCCTTGGGTTCCAGGATAGAAGAAAGTCAGTTCTAAAGCTGATAAAGTGTTTTGGAACTGTAATAACATACAGTTGTAACATAGTTTTCCAACTGTGTTTCATTGCTTAACTTTATAGTACCATAACTCAATTTTTTTCATTATAATTATAAAAGGCTTAATTGGTCAAAATTAAAAAACATAAATTCAGGGCTGGGGCTGTAGCTCAGTGGTAAAGCGTTTGCCTTGCATGCATGAGGCACTGTGTTCAATACTCAGTACCACATAAAAATAAGTAATTTTTATGTGGTATGTGGCTCAAGCGGTAGCGTGCTTGCTTGGCATGCGCGGGGCGCTAGGTTCAATTCTCAGCACCACATAAAAATAAAATAAAGATGTTGTATCCGCTGAGAACTAAAAATAAATAAATACTGAAAAATTCTTTTTCTCTCTCTCTCTTTAAAAAAAAAATAAGTAAAATAAAGGTCTATCATACCCAAAGGACTTAAAAACAGCATACTATAGGGACACAGCCACATCAATGTTTATAGCAGCACAATTCACAACAGCTAAAGTGTGGAGCCAATTTAGATGTCCTTCAGTGGATAAATGGATAAAAAAAAAATGTGGCATATATATATATACAATAGAATTTTACTCAGCATTAAAAAAGAACAAAATCATGGCATTTGCAGGTAAATGGGGGATGACATTGGAGAAGATAATGCTAAGTGAAGTTAGCCAATCCCAAAAAAAAAATGCTGAATGTTTTCTCTGATATAAGGAGGCTGACTCATAGTGGGGTAGGGAGGGGGAACATGGGAGGAATAGATGAATATAGGGAAGAGGGGTGGGAGGGAAAAGGAGGGAGCAGGGGATTAGCAAGGATGGTAGAATGTGATGGACATCATTATCCAAAGTACATGTATGAAGACACGAATTGGGTGTCAACATATTTTATATACAGAGATATGAAAAATTATGGTATATATGTGTATTAAGAATTGTAATGCAAAAAAGTACACGTATAAAGCATAAATTGGCATGAACAAACTTTATATACAGATATGAAAAATTGTGCTCTATATGTGTAATAAAAATTGCAATGCATTCCACTCCTGTGTGTATTTGAAAAAAAATAAATCAATAAAAGATTAAAAAATATCTATCAACAACTTATATAATATATATATATATATATATATATATATATTTTTTTTTAAATAAAAACATAAATTCAGAGACTGGAAAATATAAAACATGAGCTCTTCCATCCCTGCCCTCACCCTATTTTCTATTCACACCCCTCTATCTAGAAATGGCTCAACTCTAGGAGTGAAGACAATTGCCTCTCTGCAAGTTATGGGCCAGGTTCTCTTCAAGCTCAACACCTGAGAACACTTTTCTATTCTCTATCCATTCCCACTTCTGTAAGCAAGAAGTCTTTCTCTTAAGAACCTAAGGTCAGGACAGACACCACTCTGAGGCACACCAGGGCCAATTCCAACCCACCTCCTATATGCTGACAGGGAAAGCAAAAAATGTTTAATCAAAGAGCTAGATGAGTACTGTTTTTTTCAAACTTACAGATCCTATTGTTTCTATTATTTAAGAACTAATTATTCCATTTGTGTACGATACAGGCTCCTCCATCTGCTATGTTATGGTCAAAAATACTGATCCCTAGCACTTCCCAAAGGAGGCACCCCGAAAAGAAAGGAGGAAGATATTACTAAAGCAAGTAAAAGGCTGGTGTTTGAGGATGTGAAAACTGTTAGCTAAAATCAGACTTTATTACAGAGACTGGTTCTTCCCAACCCCACATGTCAAAAGTATTAAGCACTTTCAGGTGCAATATATGGTCAAAAGCTGACTGTATATGTAGGACTAAAGAAACTGAAAAATAATGTCACCTTCCCATCCTGATATGAACCACATGGCAAGTCCAGCACAAAAAGCAAGGTGCCATTCTTGCCTAGCTGTTCAAGAATTACTGTCAATAACACATTTAATTTTCATTTGAACTGTAAAAACAAAATGCTATACAAGGAACCTGACCTGGCGTTTACATCCCCCACCACCAACATCTGATTCATCCTGAACATTTTACTAACAGAGCAATCTCCCTTAGGCTGGTGAGTCTCCAAGTGATTCCTGACTCTTCAGGGTCCTTTGTAAGACTTTTCAATCTGCTCAGTATGTTCATCCCCAGCTTTGCACTATCACTCCCTACAACCCCCCATACACACATTCAAACTGTCCAAATTCTTCAGTGTGAACTGCCTTCTACCATTTTCCAGTCCAGAGTCCTCTCTCCTTCCCTCCCTCTCTCTCTCCTATAACCCTCCAGTCAGCACCCACCTGTGTTTTTCCCCTGAACTCACCATGTACCTCCTTTCACATGCACACATCTTGCTCTTGTTCTTCAGAAAGACCACATATTCCATAAGGCAGGAACTTTGATTCTGTATCCCTTACAACTCTCCAATACACTACTTTTGTACCCAGAAATACCCAATAAATATTTGACTAGACAAAAAGGACAAACCTGAAATGAGGAAAGAGCAAAGAAGGATTTTTCAATACACACACAGTTACATCACCCCTGCTCCTGTCCAGAACATACTTCTAACCGCAGACAGTTTAGACAAATTGTCCCAAGTCTCATACCCTTTGGACTGAGTGGGTGCCACCCTGAAGGCTTAAACCTACCTACCCTCCCCAGGACTGATGATGTATCCTAATACATAATCCACAGCACTCATGGCTCCCAACGTCTTTTTTTATTATTATTATTATTTTTATAGTTGTAGATGGACAGCATGCCTTTATTTTATTTGTTTATTTTTATGTGGTGCTGAGGATCAAACCCAGTGCCTCACATGTGCTAGGCAAGCGCTCTGCCACTGAGCTACAGTCCTAGCCCCATATCACCTTATTTTATGCTCACAGCAACCCTATGGCAAGGGCCATGATGCCTAGTTCTAGGGCTCACCTTAAGAAACAGAACTAAGACACTTGCTCAATATTAAACAGATCTGACTTCCAAAAAAATCTTCCTCTTACCCCTCCAAAAATATAGAAACCAGGATGATAAGAAGGGTGTGTTTTTTAAGTGAAAAGAGACGAACACGAACACTTTCTCAAGTGCCTTCCCTACAATCAAGGAAAGGAAAAAAAGATTACTCCACAAATTCCAATTCATTCCCAATTCATCTATAAGCTACTTCATTTAATTTTTATGTACCAAATCATGAGCTCTGGGACAACACGATAAAACTAAAACAGTGTTCCTTTCTCTCTTGCCTCACATCAGGCAGAGGGAGATCCACAGTGGGTGGCATTCAATAAAAGGTAACTACTGTCTATTCACAGTATTGGCAGGAATCAAACCAGCATCCTCTCAGGCCCTGGCTGGTTGGTCATCATTCTACAGAATGCAAGAGAAAAAAGATGCATTGGGAAGGAACTCAGTTAAAACCACAGCTCTCCCAACCACAGCTCTCCCAACTCAGCCCTCCTGTGAGCAAAACCAACAGCGAGCTCAGTCCTACAGCCAACCAGCCCTACAAGTAAACAAACCACAAAATTAAAGCTTTTTCCAAAAGCAGTTCTTTTTTCCCAGACTCCAAAACTGGCAAAGAAGATGATAATTCAAACCTACATTCCTTTGAGGTGTTTGTTAATGGGCAGTTCTGGAGACCAGTGGCTGGAATGTTTGATCCATAGACAGTAATCTGAGAAAGGGTGCTGTGTTGACTTTCCTGGGGAGTTGAGAGAAAGCCTCTACTAGTCAGAGATACATTGGGGATGGTTTAGGTATTCTTTATCTCCCTTAAGACAGAGACAAACATGAGACCTTGCAAGTGTTTTCTTGATTCTAAACAGGGAAGGTTCAAGGAACACTAACAGGAGAAGCCAGGGAAAAACAAATTTGCATCCAGGGGGGTGCCAGGGTTCTTCCGGCTTTTATGTTCTCTGTAAACCCTCGCGGCTTCCCACATCCCACCACCACCACCAAAGGAACACTTGCCAGGCTTTGAATACTCACAACAGAGAGCACAGGGGCACCCCAGTATGATGCCTCCATGAAACCTAAGGGATTATGACAAGACCATATCAAAACAAACAGAGCGCACTGCCGGAAATCACAGTTACGGACCACAGCCTGGATTCCAAGCAGAGTTCACTGCCACAATACAACATTAAGGAAACACGTCTCAAAAAAGGAAAAGCAACAAAACTCAAAATATTCCTGAAAGTGTATAGCATTTCATGTACAAGGCCATTTAACTACAGCATTTTGGACACCAATGAAAAATGCAAAACAATTCAAGGGCCGTAAATAAGATTTGACTTTTTGGAGTCCTTTATATGGCAGAATACATTGTGTTTATCAATAAGATCCATCTATAAGTGATTGACATGGATCAGTAGAAAAGGAATTTTTGGTTTTAAAAAACATGCATACCTAGCCAGGCACAGTGACACACGCCTGTTATCTTAGCAGCTTGGGAAGCAGAGGCAGGAGGATCAGCAAAAGTGAGGCACTAAGCAATTCAGTGAGACCCTGTCTCTAAATAAAATACAAAATAGGGCTAGATGTGGCTCAGTGGTTAAATGCTTCGGAGTTCAATCCCTGGGACCCAAAAACAAAAAACAAAGAAACACACACCTACTCACACTGTATTTCATTTCTTTTTTTTTTTTTTTAATTTTTTTATTGTTGGTTGTATTTCATTTCTTTATAACCTTCTCTATAGCCTTTTTTTTCCAGCTCCTCAGAATCCAAGAATATAAAAATTGAACAATCTTAGGAAATCACTCAACCAGTTTAACTATCAATCAAGTTGGGGGCTTCCAGGACAGGAACCATTTCTCCTCAATTTGCCCATGTTCTCACACATATAAGGTTTGGCCCTTAGGTGGTTCCCAGGACAGCCATGCAAAAACAGACAATAAACCAGTGAAATTCTGTTATATATTCCTCTGTTCTTTTTTATTTTTCCTTTTTTCCCATTTGTGGCACTGGGGAGTGAACAAACCGAGAGCCTTGGATATGTAGACTAGTGCCCTACCACTGAACTATACCAGCAGCCCTTTTTATTTTATTTTGAGATACGATCTTGATAAGTTGCCCAATCTGACCTTGAACTCATCATCTACCTCAGCTTCCCAGGTAACTGAAAGTATGAGCCCCCATCCTTGGCTATTCCTCTGCTCTTGATGATTCTTACAAAGAACTTCAGGCAGCACCACAAGTTTGATCGTTTAGGTAACAATTACTCTCTCCATCTTGTGGCTATGCAGCCCACCCTATTCCATGTCCTTCACCACTTTTTATTCAGGTTAATCAAGGCCTCTGAAAAGTTAATCCACACCATACCTCTTTTCCTCCAAGTAAGACCATCCCTGTTTCTCAGTAAAAATTCCTGAGAAATGCAAAACATTAAGCACACACCTTGCCCTGAGAAGCAGGCATCCTGGCCTACCTTCTTCCTCTACTTCCAGGAAAGTCACTGTCCAACTCATCCACCTCCTTTGCCTCCAACATCTAACTCTCTTGTCTGCACCTAGAATCTTAACTCTTTTAATAACTAAAACATCAAAACAGAATTCCCTAAACATAATTCCTACCCCTCCACACAGTATACATATCTACTTCTGTTACACGTGATCTTCAAATCTATTAAGATCTCCAATCCCTTGACTTCCTGCCTTCTCCAGGACAGTGAGTCCTGCTACCTTACTGAGTAAGTTGCATACTGGCAATTGTTTCAATGACGTAACTGTCCACACTCTACCTCTTTCCACCTGTCGTCCTGCACTGCTCACCCACCTGGTTAAGTGTATTCATCCCCTGGGTGAAAGTAATTGAGCCCTTGCAACCTGCCAGGCACTCTGCCAAGCACTTCCTATACAATATTGTATTTAATTCTTAATAATAAAACCAGAATGCTGTCCATCCCGTTTTCAAGTTGTAGAAAATAAGGCTCAGAAAGGTCAGCTAAGTTGCCCAGGGTCACACAGCAAGAAAACAAGAGAACCGGATCTAAATTCAGGTCTATCTTATTCCCACTCTGAATTATTGAAAGTACTAGCCTTCCTGCCTTCTCTACTCTTCCCTATAGGATGCCACCATGACAAAATTTCAACTTAAGCCGAGCCCTTATTGCTGTTCTTATCTTATTGCTGTTTATTATCTTCAGTTACTACATAACTGGAATAGCACACCTTTACCAACTTTTGTCACTCTCCTTGTCCTACCATGCTGCTCCTCTTATCTTCGATACCACCCTATCTCAATAAAAACTAAAAATTTGGGGCTGGGGATGTGGCTCAAGTGGTAGTGCGCTCGCCTGGCATGTGTGTGGCCCGGGTTCGATCCTCAGCACCACATACAAACAAAGATGTTGTGTCCACCGAAAACTAAAAAATAAATATTAAAATTCTCTCTCTCTCTCTCTCTCAAAAAAAAAAAAAAAACTAAAAATTCACCCCAATCCCCTTCTACTCACCTCCACACAGTTCTATCTTCAGCCATCCTTACTATATGCCTATAGACTTGAATCCCTCAAATAAGAGTAAAAATAACAGCAGCCACCATCTACCAGTAACTTACCTGTACCTCTTACTGTGTATCTCCTGCCTCATTTAACCTCACTGCAAACCCACGCAGTAGGCACAATAGCCCCACTGATATATGAGTCAACCAGGGCTTGAAGCCAAAGTGCTATCATCAGCAAACAACAAAACAGAATTACAACCCAGACCTGTCTTACTCCAGCCCCTGGCCTTTTACTCACACCTTGTTACCTTAATTCTTCAATCGCCCTCTTTCCTACTTACATCCACTTTATCCAATCTGCAAAACACTCAAATAATTACCAACATTTTCTTAAGAGGGAGGGCATTCTACACTCTCTCCTCATCAAGTTACCACCTCATCTTTTTTCCTCTTCTCTTACCTGTTAAGATTCTGAAGAGAGCATGGTAGCAAACGCCTGAAATCACATACTGAGGCCAAAGAATTGTAAGTTTGAAGGCAGCTTGCGGAACAAAGCAAAACCCAGTCTCACAATAAAATTTTTTAAAAAGGACTGGGGATGTAGCTCTGAGGTAGAGTGCTCTTGGGTTCAATCTCCAGTACCATGAAGTAAATAAGTTTCCGAAAAGAGAAGTTCCAACACATCACCATTTGGTGCGTGCACCACTTTCTGGAAATAGCTCTTCCCAAAGACCTCAGCTCTTTCCCCACCCTAACACAGTCTCTTCGGGGGCCTTTGCAGTGCTGACCTGGACTTCCCAAAGGCTGTACTCTCCTCTTTACTTTGCTTTTACTTTCCAGTTTTGGTGGCCTCTCAGAGTTCCACTCTCCTCTCCTCTCATTCTACCTGGTAACTGACTCCAAATCACTCTTTCTAGCCCCTCCTTGCCCAAGTTAGAGAGCTACATTTCTAATTTCCTTTTATACTTACCACCCTGTAGTACTCTTGAAGGACCCACAAACTCAACATGTATAAAACCAAACTCAATCCCACCTTCACCCAACTCCACCCCAAATTTTGTAGCTACTATCAGAACACACATATCTACTTGGGTGTCTCAGTGAGAAACATCAAAATCATCCTCAATAACTCCCTATTCCTCTGTCACTGACCAGGTCATCCCGCTGTCATACCCACACTGCCTCTACAGCCTCTCAATAGCACGTCTTACCTGTCCTCTGGCCACTACCCTCACTGCCTCTCTTTTAGGCCCAACAATAATCCCATTACCTTTGCCTCTAAGTGTTGCCATTAGGTGGTATTTTTAAAATCTGATTTTCAAAAATGTCCACAGTGAGCCAAAGTTCTTACATTATCACCAAAGGTGTTCTCTTGATATACAAATTCATTTCCCAGATGAAAGTCACTGATTTTCGAATAAAGGTCAACTCCTCAACATGCCCTTCAGCTATTTACTGACTCTTACCTGTCTTGAAGTCCTGTCTTCCCCATCATCTTCCCCATCAAATGCCACTGACTCACCTGACTGCCAGCCACACCACAGCCACACTGCCTTGCTTGTTATTCCCCTCTAAGAGGTGCACTGCTCTGTCTGAAGCACTCCCCCTTTCTATTTCCATTTCACAAGCCTCAGTCCTTCAGGGCTCTATTCGAATGGTCTCTCCTTTCTGTAGGAAAAAGAGGATTAAAGCCTGGGCTCCAGAGTTTAAATTCCAGCTCTGCGATTATTGGCCTTGTGATGGTATTAACAAATTCCTTAAGCTTCTGAAGCCTCAGTTTCCCCATCTGTAAAACAAGATGTGAGTAAACTCAGTTCTTCTTCTGAGTTTAAAAATAAGGTACATAAAATGATTGTCAAAATACACACAGTAAACACATAAATAGTAGATACTATTTATTATTCCAGCCCTCCTAAATCCTCTAGACAAAAGTGGCGAATCCCTACTCTCAATGCCCCAAACCCACTGCACACCCTCCTATATACCATTTTGCAAGTTATATTAGAACTATAAGGTTGTATCATTTGTTTCCTTTATCATATGATGAGCTCCTTTGAGGGAGGGAAGGGACTGCAGTTCATCTGTGACTCTCAAACCAAACCCTTAGGAGAAGACCTCATACCCCAGGGTCATATGCTTAAACATTAACTGAAAAAAATTGAACAAATCAATCTAGCATGGTGAGGCAGATAATAAAACATTGTATCTCAACTAACAAGTATGATTTAACTAAAATCTTTCCCTAGGCTGTTGCCTAAAATGTAAATAATCCTTGGAAGAAGTAAAGCTATTAGTAATTCTTATCTTAGTAAAGCAATAAAAAAAAAATAAGGAATCTAAACTCAAAGCAAAAGGATACGCCATTCCTCTGATACGTTTAATTTTTCCTGGATCTGTGAGCTGGATAGGCTTCAGGGCCTTCTTTACAGGACATGAGAAAATCACTTCACCTCCTCCCCCAGGGGGCATTCCTCGACGCACAATCTGCACAAAATGATGAAGAGTGATGAAGCAAGGATGCAGCAAAGCAGTGAATTACTCTGACACCTAATCCAGAGAGGTTTCATTTTTCCAGTAAGCTCTTCCTCAAGGCAGATGGTCCTTTCATATTCAATGTCAATCCCTTCAAAACCAACAATACCTTGTGTTACCTGCAAGAGGGTATGTGCTGTTGGCAGCATGTCCAAGTCCAAGTCAAAGTGGGCTTTGCTTCATCTATCTACAACCCTGGGTAGGTCATTTCATCAAAGTGACCTATTTTTTCTTCCCAGTTCATGAGCTGATCCCATTTCTTAGCTATCAAGAATCCCTTTCTTGGGCTGGAGATGTGGCTCAAGCGGTAGCGCGCTCGCCTGGCATGCGTGCGGCCTGAGTTCGATCCTCAGCACCACATACAAACAAAGATGTTGTGTCCGCCAAATACTAAAAAATAAATATTAAAAAAAAAAAGAATCCCTTTCTCTCCTATGCAAATACCTGATCTATTAAGCCCAAAAGAAATCATTATCCCTGTTTAAAAAGATCAATTTTAAAAAATAAATATGCTAAACAGCTTAAGATATCCAGTATCACCACATTAGATTGATATAACTCTTAAAGTTTGGATATACAGTATCTCCAAAAAAGATACTGCAAGAATATTAACAAGTAAAATGATTAGATTATGAGCACTGTAGGCTAATCAGTCCCTTCTAGTTTAAAGGGCCTGAGTGGGTGGTAACTATAGGCAGGTGGGGAGTGGCTGGAAGTGATGGATCACTGGGGGCATGCCCTGGATATGTTCATCTTCACTGTGGTCCCTTCCCCACTTTCCTCTGTCTGCTCCCTGGCTTCCATGAATGGGGCAGCTTCCCTGCATTGTGCCCTTCCAACATGATGTTCTGCCTCACTGTGCCCAGAGCAATGGACTTGGCCGACCATTGGCTAAACCTCTGAATCGTGAGCTAAAATAAACTTTTCCTCCTCTAAGTTGTTCTTGTAGAATATTTTGGTCATAAGCAACAAAAAGCTGACTAACACAAATTCCTTTAAATAGGAAACAGATTCTTAAATCACTTATACTATGTTTTAGAAATACTGAAAAATCTGAGGGACACTCACGTTGGGGGTTCCTGAACACAAACTATATCGAGATAAGACTGGCATTAGGAACAGAATCCTTACTGCTCTCCTAACTGCTATGGAGAGGGCTGTGTGAGGAGTATAGGAGTTAATACATGTAGAATGTTTACCACAGCACCTACCACAATGTACAACATGACTGTTGGACACTACTACCATTACTAGCAAGTCCCTTTCAGTTCAAACTTTATAGTGTTTGGTTCATAAGCCCTTTGGGACTTCTTAAAGATGATAACTTCAATTGTGACACACATACACACTGAGTCACAGAGCTCTTCCAAGCAACTGATAACATACATATAGCCAACAGTTCAATATATTCTTACCTTTAGTTCAAAGGATTCACCATCAATCCCAAACTGTTTCAACAGAGGGAGAGCTGTTGCCTTAAGAACATCAACCTATAAAGTATTTGAAGGGAAAAAAAGTTTAATTAAACTTTGGGCAGATAGGAAGAGTTCAAAAAACAGGCAAGGGTTAGCAACAAGGTAGGTGGTACAGTTTGGTGGAGAGAAAATGCTGGCCTACAACTGCTCTATCCAAGTTAAGTCTCTGATTTTGCAAATCACTGGGCTTCTCTGAGCTTTGCTTTCCTCACTGATGACATGGAGACCTACACCTACCTTGTAGTCTCCTTGAGCATTACATGCAATAGGCATGAAGAAACTGCAGGGCTCATAGAATAAACAAACTGGGATCTCTGCTCATTTTTACAGGTATACACACTGTGAAAGAAACTATCATTCTCTTTTAGTAATCTTTTTAATGTTTAGAGCTGGTGGCACTCAGAGTAAAAGCAAACCAAATGAACTATTCAATATTAACCTAAGAGTCCAGATGAAGGTGCTGATTCTACATGGGAGGGGAGAGTAGTGAGGGAATTATAGCCTCAAAACCCATGAGGCAACACAGACCCCAAATTACAATTATAAGACCATTCACAGTTAACGGCAAGACTTCTGCCAAGTGTTATTCTTATCTCTTCCCTATTCAGAGCTCTGAGGACTTCCTTATCAATTTGTGGATTTCTCATAGGATATCAGGATGGCATCCAAATTATGTATATCTAAAAATAAGCAAACGTTGCTCAATTGTAACATGGGCATTATATCTTGGCTATGAGGTATCCTCCAAAAGTTCCTGTGTTGATATTCAGAGGTGAAATGGATTATGAGAGCTGTATCCTAATCAGTGGACTGATCCATTTGATAAATTAAAAATACTGAGCAGTAACTATAGGCAAGTGGGTCATGACTAGAGGAAATAGGTCACTGGGAGCATACAGTAGAGATTTTATATTTTGTCCCTGGTTCCTTGCACACCCTCTGCTTCCTAGCCACCATAAGGTGATTAACTTTCTTCCCTCACACCCTTCTACCATGAAATCCTGCCTCACCTCAGGCCAAGAGCAACAGAGTTGGCCAAACATGAAATGAACCTCTGAAAATAATGTGCCAAAATAAACTTTTCCTCTTCTGAGTTGTTCTTGTAGGGTATTTTGGTTACAGCAACAAAAAAGACTACTAACATGATGGGAAAGAGAAACATTCCCTACTAGTTCCTAATGGAATCAGGGGCTGGGGATATAGCTCAGTTGATAGAGTGCTTGCCTCACATGCAGGAGGCCCTGGGTCCAATCCTCAGCACTACAGCGGGTGGGGAACCTCTAATAGAAACAGGTATTCCTCCTTGATCCTGAGAAGACTGACCCTATCAGGGGACAGCGAGGGAAGGTAGCACAAACAGAGGATATAGGAGAAAGCCCTAATCCTGGTCTTGGTTCTGCCTCTAATTAGCTCCACAGCCACAAATGAGAAAAATCACAACCATCTCAATTTCTTGTCTCTAGATAAGAACCTTATGCTGGTTCGTCTCCAAGCTGCTAACAATTTTCATAGGCTGATTTGACAGAATGATCTCCAAGGAGGCTTTATAGCAGAAGATAGGCTCTAACTAAATATCTGGGTATTAGAAAATTAACCAGAAGTAGAAATAACCTGTAAAGCCTGGGAATGTGTTCAGAATGGATCAGGTGTGGCAGGGGCAGTGACGAGGAAAACCTATTAAAGATTAGCTTATTTTAATTAAATATTAAAGCTAAACATACCCCAAAACGTAATTCAGTCATGCATCACTTAACAATAGGGATATTTTCTGAGAAACACGTCATTAGGTAATTTTGTCCCTGTGCAAACATCACAGAGTGTTCTTACCTACTTTTTTTTTTTTTTTTTGAGATGGGGGTGTTGCTAAGTTGCCCAGTTGCTCAATCCTCCCATTTCAGCCTCCAAGCGGCTGGGATTACAGATGCACACCACCCCTCCAGCTAAGTGTGCATATATAAATCTAGATGGTTCAGACAAGTACACTCCTAGGCTATACGGTATGGTTGATTTTTAAATCTGTCATTTTTATTTTTTGTTTAAACTTTTTTGTTCAAAACTAAAACACAGTCTGGGTGCAGTGGCGCACACCTGTAATCCCAGCAGCTCAGCAGGCTGAGACAGGAGGATCACAAGTTCAAAGACAGCCTCAGCAACTTGATGAGTCCCTGAGTAGCTTAGCAAGATGCTGTCTCAAAATGAAATATTAAAAAGGGCTGGGGATGTGGCTCAGTTGTTAAGCACCCCTGGGTTTAATCCCTGGTACAAGAAAAAAAAAAAAAAAACCCTAGGGCACAAACACATCAGCTTAGGTCTATGCAGGATCAAGATCATCAATATCGCTATCTTCTACCTCCAAATCTTGTCCCACAGGAAGGTTTTCAGGAGCAATAACATGCATGGAGTTGTCACCTCCTCTGAGAACAATGCCTTCTTCTGAAATTCCCTTCTGAAGGGGCCTTCGTGGGGTTGTTTTACAATTAGCTTTTTCATAAGTAGAAGGAATAAACTCTAAAATAACAAGAAAACTATAATAGAGTAAATACATATACCAATAACATTTATTTTTATCAAGTACTATGAACTGGATGAGCACAGTGGTTTACATCTGTAATCCCAGGCTGAGGCAGGAGGATCCCAAATTCAAGGCCAGTCTAGGCAATTTAGTGAGACCTCAGGAACTCAGTAGATCAGTGTCTCAAAATAAAAAATTAAAAGGGTTAGGAATCTAATTCAGTGATAACCTGTCCCTTGGGTTCAATTCCCAATCCCCAGAAAAAAGTATTATGTCCTGTACATAACTGTATATACTATGTTTTCATATAACTGGCAGCACAGTAGGCTTGTTTACACTAGCATCACATGTGACAGAAGCTTTGCACTATGACATAAGGACAGTTGTGGGGTATTTTGTTTTTGTTTTTTATCAGGGATTAATCCCAGGGGCACTTAACCACTAACCCATATCCACAGTCCTTTTTTGCATTCTATTTAGAGACAGGGTCTCCCTAAGCTGCTTAGAGCCTCGTTAAGTTACTGAGGCTGGCTTTGAACTTGTGATCTTCCTGCCTCCATCTGAGCCTCTAGGCTTACAGGTATGCACCACCACACTCAGCTAGATGCAACATTTCGACAGCTACGATGTCAATAGGTGACATCTTATGGGACCACTGGCATACACGTAGTCTATCATTGATGGAAACACTATTATGTGGCACATGACTATATACTCATATGAGATTGCCAGAACCCAGAAGAGTCTGTCTAGGATAGAATTAAGGGTGGCTGGGGAAAGGACGAAGCCAAATCTTAAAGACTTGGTAAATGCTAGGATACAGGTTACTCTGAAACTAGGCAGCCACCACCTCTCCTGGGGAAAAAAGGTAAGAAAGTAGAGCATCCTTTCTGGCTCATTCTACTTATACCCTAAGTTACAAAGGACAAAGTCAAATAAATTTATTTCCAAAGTCAGCCAGAAGCACAAGTGTAATTTCAAGTACTGTCCTGTCTCCTAATCACTCTCCACCAGACACACTTGGTATTGTGAGACAAGGGTTGGAAAGCTAAAGAGGGCTTAAGCCTCAATCTGCCTCTAACTAGCTGTGAAATCTGGGATACTTCCCTAAATCTCTGAAGCCTTAGTTTCTTCAGTATGAAATAAGAAGCTAGCCTGAACACTCTATTATCTTCTCCAGCTCTGCCTGTTCTAGCTAAAGCAGAATAAGGCCTGCAAGCTCTGCTTCAGGGAAACTGAGCTGTCCCTCTATGGTCAGAGAGAAAAGGCAAGGGTCTGACCTAAATGGTAACTCAGGGTACCTTTCTCAAAGGTCAACAACACTTCTCACTACCAAACCTCACTGCTCAATCTTAACCTGACTCCTGCAAACAGTAACTCTGGATCATTCCCAGCTACTTACAATTTGACTGCTGCTTGGTTTCTCCAAATTTCTTTTCTATTTCCAGCTACTTTTTTCTCTCTCATATCTTAAACACTCACTTCCCCTCACTCTTCTATTCTCAGTTCCTTGTTCCACAGGGCAAAAAACAATAAACAAACAAACAAAAAAAAAAACTATATGACTCACAAGTCTAATAAGGAAACTGAAATGAATAAGGAGGTCAACTGAGAATTGTATCCAGCTGGAAAGCTCATGTCTTACCAGAGGGCAGCTGCCACATAGCTCCAACTGATGGCCATCATGCAGGAACAGCCTTCCACTGCTCCTGCATTGCCCTACTCATGCAAAAGCTGGGATTTTGACATGAACAACAAAATCATTCTCTCTCTCTTACTCCCCTCCACCAACACACACACACACACCACTGCCATCATCACATTATATAGGCCAAAGCAAAGACAGCTATAGGACCAATTCAGCTAAAATGCTACTAGTGTTCAATCATAGCTGGTCAATCTCACTGACCAGATTTATCTCAGTAGGTAAGATCCTGAGGACCTGCTTTGAATTTCTAGACAGTGGTTTCTAACTGCCATATGGACATCCCCATGTGGTTATGCTGCCAAAAGCTCAGAGTACGGTAACAAAATCAAACACATCATCCATTATCCTACCACAATTTCCCCTTACTGTGTCAAACACTATCTAAACATTATCCTTAAAGTCAATCAGGGCAAAAAAAATTATGAAGTCACTTTTGGCCATTCCTCTCAGTCCATCTCCAAGTAGTTGTCAAGTCATGAAGTCACTCTTGCCATCATGCCCTTCTCCTTATTTTCTACTTCCAGCTTTATAAAGCCCAAGCTAGTCTATCACTTCTCCAATTCACTGTTCACTCAACATCCAGGATTATCCTCCAAAAAGCCATATTTAACGTGTTAAGAGGTAGGACCATGGAAGACCTAAAGATATGCAATCCTGTCTTCCTGTTTTCTATTGCTATAATAAAATGCCTGAGACCAATTAAAAAAAGAAAGAAAAAAAGTTGATTAAGTCATGAGGACACCACTTAGCAAATGGACTAAGGATATTATCACAGAAGTGGGCTTGTGAGAAAAGGATACATTTAGCCCAATTTTTCTGTGTTGCCATCTGATGCTTACACCACTTTATGATGCAAGACAAAGGCCCTCACCAGAAGCCAGCACCATGTTCTTGGACTTCCCAGCCTACAGAAATGTAAGAAATAAACCTCTGTTCTTTATAAATTATCCAGTCTAGGTATTATGTTACAGCAATGCAAAATGGACTAAGGTACTGACGATCAGCACTTTGCTTGTACCTCTATCAGGGACCAAGGGGATTCAGTCTTTTCATCTCCCTAGCCATGCGCACAGGTGTCTACCCCATGAGAATGAGAGCTCCCTGACAGCAGAGTCACTCATGGTATTCATACTTGCATGACGTGAGTAAATGGAGACAGGCTAAAGAAGTTACTCCTTACCTAGGATTAGGAGTATTTATTTTAACCTGGGCTAAGCCAAGTATATCAACCACCATCATTTAGTCGTGCTGCTGGCAAAAGGAGACAGTCCTGTCATATATGAAAATAGATTTGTTTTTAATATGCTGCATAAAAGAATTAAGTACCATTTCTGGGGAAGTTATCAATTACACTGAGAACAGCTTTTAAAAATAGTAATTATAGAAAAGGAGTACAAAATTGGGATACACAGCATTAAAGTCCCAAGTATACTTTAGAACCTTTCCCCATAATTTGACACACTTTGCCTCCTTACATCTCAAAATATAGATGCCTCCTCTCACACTTTGAACAAAAGGGCCCATTTCTTAGCATCTTCTTAAAAATGCAGATTTTCTTCTTGAAAATCTTCTCAAAATGCTTCTTGAAAAGCAATCACTTAAATTAAAATTCTTATCAGTTTATATAACATTCATTTACAGGTAAGAATTTCAGATCTTGCACTGTACACTGTATTTAGCATGCTAGAAAAAGAGTTTACACAGCTGAATTCTCAAGGATTGAGAAATAAGTCTTCCATTGCCTAAGAACACATTAACCCAGATACTAGAAGGTATTCTGGTGGATACCAGCCTCCAATTTGGAGCTCAATACACCACTAACTGGTCTTTTCCAGTTAGGAATGCTGCACACACTTCAGAGTTGGCCTTAGAAACTGCCCATTCAAGACTGTGGTCTATGTCTATAACAGTGAAGACAACTGTCAGGCCTCTTGGTCATCAGCTTTAACACCTTCTCTGGACAGTTAGGTATCCAAAAGCAGCAACTTTTCCCTCTGAGCACACTGGCATTAAGAGAGCTGTACTGATCAAAATGAAGGTTTCAATTGTATATCAAACTGTTCTCCCCACAAATGCAGAAAAACTAGAGAGTTTAGTAAGAAGTTTGCTAGTATCCACAAACTATCACACATTCCTTCCCTGACCTTATGCTTTTTTCTAAATCTGCAAATCTCTCAGATAAAGAAAGTTCCTGATTTTATGGTTGAAGACTGGATAAGTCAAGACTCTGCTGTGGCAATGCCAAGAGATTATTTTCTGCCTAAAACTTTGATCTGCTGCCCTCTAGCCTCAGCTCTCAGATGACCTTACAAAACTCCACTCTCATACACTTCAGCCAACAGAAGCATATTTCATGTCAAACACTATGAGACATCAAGCATCTGTTTTGAAGATTCCTAGACATAACAATGAAAGGCACCTTGATGAATGTTAGTAATCATCCTGAATGTGATGATCACAAGTTTTGGTTCATCTGCCTCCTGGAGTAAATTAACCACTAAATCTCAGATAAATAACAAAAAAAAAAAAAAAAAAACACTCAAAAATAGAAGTGTGCTTATGAGAAACTTTTTTCTTAGTAATTGAGTAATAATGAGAAACAAAAGAAAAATCACACCATGGTTTGACCTCAATACTCACCGAAGGGTCAACTTGGTCATTGGTCACTCCTCGCAGTACTATTTTTAATGGGTGCTTCATAAATGGTGCCAGGCAAAGAAGACCCTCCAGATAATAGCCAATGCCACGAAGGACACTACAGTCATGTTCCAAGGATCCACCATATAGGAGGCCAGGTTGATAATATAAGGTCGTTCCTTAAACCAGAGGAAAAAAAAATAACCAGATGCAGCAAGAACAAAACCAGTGTCACAAGACAACGAATGCAGTAAGTCCCAGGGGAAAACATGGCAAGGGCATCCAAGGGAGTTCAAAATGCCATTCCTGAGAGTCTGCACTTCACTCCAAAAGCTGAGTCACTACTGACAAAGCCTCTGTAACAATAATAAACTGTGAGTGTAATTTAATAAATAGTAATAAATTAAACCCTTCTCTAAGCCATCTGAGTTTCCAAAGTCATGGCAGGGCACACAAGAGGGCTCCTCATAGGCACCCTAGCCTCTTAGATGAACACTCTCAGACTGTGCTGACTGTAGGTTCATGAACAATAGCCTTAAATCATCACACCAGCAGCCAGTATCCTCTAGGCCCCTTGAAATGAGATTTCTCATACAGTTCATAAACCAAAAAAAGATGCCTAGAAAAGCAAGTACTTTGTGGCACTCAATGCCAAGAGTGGCAGCAATTTTAAATTAATACTAATAAATGGAACTATCCAAAATTATGTTATGGCTCTTGGTGAATACTCTTCTTCATTTTCTTTACTCATTTTTTCACATATATTTATATCATCCCCCAATTTTCTTACTAAATGTGATATCAGAGGAAAAACATTGTAAAACACCCTAGATGATTTGGGACAGTAGGGTAAACTAAGTACTTCTACTGCTCAAAATCTTTTGCAATGTCTTTTGGCACAATTTATCAAAAATAAATAAAGGAAAATAGCTCTTGAGAGTTTATAAAATAAAACACAAAAATCTAAATAATCACAATCATGATTATATTCTCAAAGTGACCAACACTTCTCAAAGGGTATGATTCTAGGTCATTTATCCTCAACAGTGTTAAGATCAAGAAGCCAGAGAAAGAGTATATAACCACAAAATCCTTCAATTCCACCTACTTATGCCAGAAATTAATCAAATGAGAAATTGACGAGACAAGGATGATGGCTTTTATTCTAATGGGGGATGAACAGGGTCACATAAATGTCTTTCCCAATTCCACTGTGGACATGACTAGAGAATAAAATTATCTGCCTTCTGAATCTCCAATAATTTTTTCATTGCTGAAAAAAATCTCCAGCAATTTCAAAGTAAACAAGGCAAGAAGACTGAGGGAATTACAGCTGGCAAAGAGCATCTAAACATTTCAGGTCTGAACCTTGTTCTCTGCCAGGTATGGGTAAATGCAGCTACAGATCAACATATCTCACATGGTACAAAGCCATGTATGAATCCAAGCTTGTCTTTCTTTAGAGAGTCAACATGGTGGTAACTGGGCATGGTGGCCAACACCTATAGTCCCAGCTATTCAGGAGGCTGAAGTAAAGATGACCTGAGCCCAAAAGTTCAAGTCCAGCCTGGGCAATACAGGAAAACTCTGTTTCAAAATTAATGAAATTTTTTAAAAAAGAAAGCCAACACATGAAAAGTCAGCAATTCCTTTGTGGAATATGTGTATAGAATTCACAAAGCCAGTCAAAGGATATTTGCCACGACTCGTTACACAAAGCAGATAAAGATTCTAATAGAAAAAAAGAAGGGGGAAAAAAGCTAGAAACAACCTAAGTATTTATCAGTAGAGAGCATTAAATAAATTATCACCCATCCATACAATGGAATACAATACTAGAGCCCACAGAAATATGGAGGTGGACCTGCATGTGCCAGTAGGGAAAGTTCTATGAGACATCTGTGCAAGTGAAAAAAAATACTAGCTGCAGAACTGTGAAGAACATGACCCTGTTGATGGTCTGGGTTACATAAGTGCTCATATAAGCAAGTGTGGTGACTGTGGCTACCCCAGGAGAAGGGACTGGAAGAGGAAAGTGGTAAAGGGATTTTTTTTTTTTTTTTTTGCACATATTTGTATAAACTTATTTTAAAAGACAAAATTTTAAAATAGATTCCAACACGTGCAACTACTCAGAGTTTACTTTAAGAATAATATGATGATATATGTAAATGGACTTTGAAAAGATTTATGTAAATGTTAGGTATAAAACATGCTTGCTTGCTCATTTGAAACTCTCAGTTCTCTACCTTCCTTAAATCAAGTGTATGCCCGTTAAGTTAACAGATTTCACATACACCTCTGGAAATTTTTATCAAACACAGGAAACTGGGTCTATTTGAACTATTTTAATGATCTAGAATGATAAGTTTTTATTACAATCTTCACTCACAGATTCCTCTTGTTAAATCCTCTAAACATTCTAACTTAATGAAGACTTGCGTGACACAAAGTGATTAGTAAAGTTTTAAACACAATATAGTATTTATACCATTAAAAAGAGAGAGGGCTAGGGTTGTGGCTCAGGGGTAGGGCACTTGCTTAGCATGTGTGAGGCACTCACTGGGTTCGATCCTCAGCATCACATATAAATAAATTAAAAAAATAAAGATCCATCAACAACTAACAAAAATATTTTTTAAAAGAGTGAGAAACAAGAGGAATGTTTAGGTAATATATATATATATAGGTCCTTTCAGGAATGGACAGAAAAGGAGCTCACCTGTTTGGTTTATTTCAATTCGAGAACCATTAGTTATTTTGTCCAGTAGCCTTATGAAGCTGGCTTCAAAATCTGTGGGGAAAAGAGAAAGATTGGCCTCATGTTAGGACACATCATCTGACCCTGGTACTATAGTAGACAACAGGTTATTTCCAGCACCATACGCAAGCTTTCCTCAAGAGCTGTGTGAGTGGATGAGTTGAGGAACCTGAAGCAGTGGGAAAAGCACTAAGTAGTATATATGGTTAGCAGAACTGTTAGAAACAACTCAGCCTTCACATTCCACAAAAATCAGCAACTCTATACCAGCAATGTAATGGGATATTAATTTCAACTGCATAAAACCCATAAAAGTCCTTTATCTGCCCTCAGGAGGACAAATCAAATAAGAGAAATGGCAGAAAGCAAGCAAGGGTTTTGACTTCAATTCTTCCAGATTCTGAGAGGGGAGATTAAAATTATGGGCCACTCGTCAGTCTCACAGATAGAAAGAGTTCACAGTTTCTCTCTGGCACTCCCGCCAAAAAAAAGTGTCCCTTCTCCCTTCCTATCCCTTTCTGATCCATAATCATCTAACCAGTTCAGTTTTTATTAGATTAAAAAGGTGCTTGGGGACTGAGGTTGTGGCTCAGTGATAGAGCACTTGCCTCGCATGCGTGAGGCACTGGATTCGATCCTCAATACCACATAAAAATAAATAAATAAAATAAAGATATTGTGTCTATCTACAACTAAAATATATATAAAAGGTACTTGAACATACAGTATAACTGGCACCTACTTTTAAATGTATAAAAAAGACTGGGAAAAATGTTAATGGGTTTCTCTTGATAGGATGATAGGATGGTATATAAATTTTATACTAAAAGCTTATATTTTTATGTTTGAATTTGCTTTAATTCATTTTATGAACAGATTGTTTGTAAAAGCTAGTCATTCTTGAAAGAGTGGAAGGAAAGAAGAGTGCAAGGAAATGAGAACAGATTTTAAATGTGAAATTATGGAAGAAGGGGAGTGATGAGTGAAGGAAGAGAATATGTCCCCTGGCCTTCCCTGAAGCTTCTCTTACACAAACCCTCTAGCCGTAACCTGCCCATGGACAAGAACAGGAAGACCAACTCTTCTGCCATGGAAGGTACTGGAACAGCTTAGCACTTTTAGACAGTTCCCACTTCTGTAATCAACAAGCAGTATGGGGGAGAGATCCCAGCAGTCCTCTAAATTGATCCCAAAGGGTGACGAGATTAACTAAACAATTCTCATTTACCTGGTCTGTAACTTAACCCTGTCCCATAACTCCTGTCATAGTAGGTTCTGCAATCTGTATAAATAACACTGGGCTAAAAGTCAAAAGAAACTCCACTAAAATCCTGAAACAAATAAAAATAGTTAATAACAGCTGCTGTGTATAGAACACTTACTTAACACATTACATTCTGTCATTTCATCCTCATGACCCTGAGACAAGTGTCATTCCCATTTTACAGAAGGTTGAGTGACACCAAGATTGTCAACTGTCTAACTTGGTCAAATGACCAGTGAGTGGCTGAGCCAGGATTTGAGCCCAAGCCTCTCTTTCTCCAAAGTCTGTGCTCAACACCACACCATCACAGTTGTTTGCCTCTACTCTGTTGAATCACCCAAAGCCAAGCTCTTTTGCTAGAAACTCATGGCAACTTTTTAACTACAGGCAGTGACCCAATGAAGGATCTGGCAGTCAATTTAATGAGGCCCAATCAATATTTCTTTGTAACATAATTAGAACAGAATGGACTACAGTAACTACCTCCTATCTACAGTTTTACTTTCCGCAGTTTGTTCAACCCATAGTTACCCACAGTCTGAAAATATTAAATGGAAATTTCCAGAAATAAACAATTCATTAGTTTCAAACTGCATGTCATTCCAAGTAGCTCAATGAAGACTCATGACATACCCTTCTGTTCTGTAACAGATATGATATGAATCATCCTTTTCTCTAGCATATCCAAACCATATATACAACCCACCAAGCCAGGCACGGTGGCGCACGCCTGTAATCCCAGCGATTCAGGAGGCTGAAACAGGAGAATCTTGAGTTCAAAGCCAGCCTCAGCAACTAAGCAACTCAGTGAGACCCCTGTCTTTAAATAAAATACAAAATAAGGCTGGAGATGTGGCTCAGTTGTTGAGTGCCCCTGAGTTCAATCCCCAGCACTAAAAAAAAAAAAAAAAGCCTCAGCAACCCACTAGTTAGTCAATTAGCAGACCTCTCAGTTATCAGATCTGTTGGGAATCGCCCTGGCTCCAAAGACTAACTTCCCCATCCCCCAAGAAGAGCCATCCAATGGTGAGCCCTGCTGGCTCACATGATCCTTACTCACCAATCAGAGCCCTGCTGGCTCACATGATCCTTTAGCCCTGCTGGTTTACATGATCAGTTTCCTCCTTACATGGGTAATGTGTCCTCTCTGCTGGTCGACTACTCGACCACTAGAGAGACACTTACCCTCCCCTTCCTCTCCCCTCTTTCCGGCCCTGGGAGTATCCGGCCTCTCCAGGAAGGGTCCTGAAAAGCCTTGGCCAAGGTCTCCAATGGCTCCGGCTTTGTCCAGGACGAGAGCTTCAACTGTCAGGATTCGGTGACGACCAATCTCTGCAGTTCGAACCTGCCACTTAGGCACTCCTGATTTTTTGGCTCTAGTGGGGACGCCCCTTTTGCCAATAAATCAGTTTCCTCCTTCTCTGTGTCCTCTTCCCTCCTCCTTACATGGGTAATGTGTCCTCTCTGCCAGCCGACTCTCCCCTACAATGCCTCTTGGATCAAATATAGCACCCAGGCCTGGCCCACTATCCCTTAGACAACCAAAGCAGATGGCCCCTTTTTGGGTCCCTGGATCCCTCCATTCTAAGGGATCTCTTCCAGGCTTTCTTCTTGCTCCGATCCAATCCTGCTCTCTGCACCTCTTGCAAACAAATTCTTCTAGCCGTCCAAAGGGCGCTCAACAGATGACAGAGTTTTCCTACTTAATTTCTTGGCCTTAAAGGGATACCGGGCCTCTCCACAAAAGGCCCAAATAGCATGTATCTAGGGTTCTCTATCTCTCAAGGGAAAAAGGCCATTATAGTAGACAGAAAAAACAGCTTACTGTGTCTATACCTAAACCAAAGACCAAAGATGACTCTCCTTCTTGGGTGTGGCTGGGTACTTCAGGGCCTGGAATCTGGTCAAGGGCCCCCAAGATGAACCCCTACTCAGCGGTAGGGAAGCCCTTTAAAAAGGCCCTCCTCTGGGCACCCACCCTGCATCTCCCTGACCTCTCCCGACCCTTTACCCTCTATGTACATGAAAAACAGGAACAAAGTCTGGGTGTTCTGGGTTAGGAATATGGTCCCACATTTGCACCAGTGTCCTACCTATCCAAACAGCTCGACCCCACTGTCAAGGGCTGACCCCCATGCCTCAGAGCCCTAGCAGCGGCCCATGACTATTTTACCCTGCCCTACCACCGTTTCCTATCACCAAGCTGAACTCATAGCTGCCACAAGGGCATGCGAGCTAGCAGAGGGAAAAACCCTCTCCCTATATACTGATCTCCCATGCAGCCATTTGAAAGAAAGGGAGCTATTGACCACCAGAGGGATGGCAGTCCTTAATTCCACACTTATTTCTGGCCTACTACGAGTCTCTAGGCTGCCTTCCCAATTGGGAATAATCCATTGCAAGGCCCACCAAACTGACTCCTCCCTTACTACTATGGGGAATTCCAAGGCCGATCAAGCGGCTCGATCAGCCGCCCTACAGAGCTTTACCTCCTCTCTGCTACTCGTTACCACCAGGGATTGGCCCAAAGATCCCCAGCAACTCTTCCAGTTTCTTCACTCTCTATTGCATTCTAGTCCACAGAGTCTTACTACTTTCCTTCACTCCTTTTTCACCCTTTCCCACGCGATAAGACCCTCCTACCACAGATCACTTCTGCTTGTCAGACCTGCCAGAAAACCAATACAGAGAACCAATACCAATACTCCATTAAAACCTAAACCTTTCCCTTCTCATCAAGCCCATGGTCATACCCCAGCTGCAGACTGGCAGATTGATTTCACCAATAGGACCTGAGTAAAAATACATAAAATATCTTCTTGTATTGGTAGATACTTTTTCAGGATGGGTTGAAGCCTTTCCCACTTCCAATAAACGGGCCTCTATGGTAGTTGATCTATTGCTTACTCACATAATCCTGCGTTTCGGGATGCCCACTTCTATCCAATCAGACAATGGCCCAGAATTCACCTCACAGATAACTCTGGGACTGGCTCACACGCTATCACTCCCTTGGCATTTCCATTGCCCTTACCGCCCCCAGGCTTCCAGAAAGGTTGAAAGGACCAATTGGTCCCTTAAAGAGACCCTCACCAAGCTCACCATGGAATTAAGCCTGGACTGGGTAAAGGTGCTACCCTTGGCTTTATTGCGCATTAGGGCCCTGCCAAAAAAGCCTTCTAATCTCTCACCTTTTGAAGTCATGTATGGCCGTCCCCTCATTCCTCCCGGACTGCCTACAGAACCCCTACCCATCTCCAAAACCTATGCCCTGCCCCTCCTCTTTCATCTATGCTCTGAACTCTGCCGCTATCAAGCCTGGCTCCTTCCTGACCCCAGTCTCTCTCAAAACCCTACCTCCTTAATACCTGGTCAACTTGTTTACTATTGCCCACCGGGGGAAAAGCCCCCTCTAAAACCAAACTGGGAGGGTCCTGCTCAGGTGACTATGTGCACTCCCTTGGTGGCCAAACTCAAGCTGTCTAATAACCAACTTACCCTGTGGATTCACATTTCCAGGCTTAAGCCTGGCACTCCTACACCTTCATCAGAAAAGCCAACGATCGTCATCTGTCATTAAGTACTCTTGTCAATGCTCCCCCTCATTTCTTGCCCCTCTTGGGTCCTCTCTTCGCCCTATGTCTGAAGATTCAAGGCAAGTGACCCTAAGGGCCCCCTCCAGCCAGACACCCCCCCCACTTGCTTGAATCTGGCCAGTAGTGGGATCGTTGTGTGTTGTCCTTCTAACAAACCACTTAAGTGTCCAGAGCATGGTGACCCCTGTTGATCATAAGAGAGCACTTTACCAGTTGCCTTCTGGGCCTAAGGAGAAACATGTGTGTTTTGTTTACCCTCCCAGTTTCATTGAAGTGTAACTGATGTGCAGGACCCTGCATATAGTTGGCGCGTACAGTTTGGGCATGTGCACACGCTGGTGTTCCCATCACCACTCTCCAACAGTGTTCCCATGCCTGGGTTCCTGGTGAAGTTGTTTCTTCCTGTTGCTTACATCTACCCCTACCTGAGTTACCTTCAGTGAGTCCATGACTGTCCTGGGAGGCAACCTGAGCTCTCCTTGGGTGAGGCGTTGGGTGTGCTCTGGTCCAGCCCACCTGCTCTGTCGTCACTCTGTCTTCCCCTGTCTGAAGTGCTCTCTAAATCCTTCCTTTCCTCAACTTCTCCATCCTGTGTGGAGGTTGCCCTGTTTTGGTGATCCACATGCCCTGCTTCTGAAAAACCAAGGTGCTTCTTTGGGTCCTGCCCGTTTGCCAATAGAAGAATGAGAAGCTTTGGTGTCATGAGCTAGTTACAGGCTTTGATAGAGTTTCTGCTTTTCCTATGTGTATGTGTGTGCATGTCTGAGTTCAGTTTTAAGTTTCCAGGGGAAGAAGTCACCATCTTCTGACGGCAGCTGGAGTGTATACGTAAGTACCACTGAGACTCGTTGGTTAGACCAGTGTCCCTTTATTACATTAGCACCCTTGGTGTGGGTGCTAATGTAATAAAGGGACAGTAACTAGGGGTTGGATTACAGACAGCCAGAACAGAGTCAGAGCATCTATGCCAAGTGTGATAGCATGCACTTAGTGTGTCCACCTTCAAGTTTACACAGGGCTCCAGAGGGCCTCCCAGTTTCATAAGAATTCCAAGTATCAGTATTTAAAGTTGAGGTGTTTCACATAAAACCTGGAGAGATCTGACTGCTCTCAAAGGGAAATATGGTAGCTGGTACACCCAGGTAGGAGAAAGTTTGAAGAGCAGCCTTAATAGAGAGGGAAGGGAGGTAGATTGGACTAGGAATGAAGAGTGGAATTGAGGGTGTTAGGTGCAGGACAGGCTGGTCTGCAGGGCCTGCAGGGCATGCCAAACAAAGTTAGCTGCAGAATGACCTGGCCTCTCAAACCCTCTGTTTGGTTCTATATCACCTGTTTGCTTCAAGCCCAAACAGCCCAAGCCCCCGCTCAAGGCTGAACACTCAACCCCCACGCTCAGGGTTGAACACTTAACCCCCTGTTGGGCCAACAAGGCAGCTTGCAGACCAAGAGACCCCATTAGATTTGAGCTATAAAAATTCCCTGTGCCTGTTCCTTCCTCCTATCATAAAGTTCATTCAGACTCAGGTGGGTAAAATTTCTAATCAAGCTTTTAAACAGCTTCTCCTCAGGAATTACCAACTACTGGCTACTGATGATACCTCCAGTCGAGACCTATGCCAAGTGGACTGACGTCATCATGAATCTGTGGTGGCAAGGAACCTTTGTTGATACTGGTCTTCTCTGCCCTCCTGTGGGGGTTCCTTACCTCCCTCCTCTTTCTCCATACCGCCCCATTTCAGCAGGAAGCAGCCAGAGTGAGTCGACGCCCATTCTCATTTAATAACAAAGAGGGGGGAATGTTGGGAGTCGCCCCGGCTCCAACTCCAAAGACTAACTTCCCCATCCCTCAAAAAAAGCCGCCCAATGGTGAGCCCTGCTGGCTCACATGATCCTTACCCACCAATCAGAGCCCTGCTGGCTCACCTGATCCTACCCACCAATCAGATTAGCCCTGCTGGCTCACCTGATCCTTACCCTCCAATCAAAAAGCACCCCATGCCAACTGTCAAACCACCCCTGGCTCTATAAATATGCAGAGCTGTTCCTCAATAAACGGGCATTTGCTCCGATGACAAGCCTTGTTCGTTCTTTCAAGATCCATTATTGTGACACCACAGTACTTGTGTTCCAGTTATCTTTATTTTACTTAATAATAGCCTGAAAGCATAAGAGTAATGATACTAGCAATTTGGGTTTTGTTTGTTGGTTGGTTTTTTTGTACTATGGATTGAACCCAGGGGCGCTATACCACTGAGCCACACCCCCAGCCCTTTTTTTGTATATATTTAGAGATGAGAGTCTCTCAGAGTTGCTTAGGACCTCGCTCAGTTGCTGAGGCTTGCTGAGAGCCATAGCCAAGTAGGAATGATGCATGGCAATTTCCTTGTCAGCCTACCCAATGTTGCTTAGAGGGAGGACTCTCCATTGTGGAAATGGGCTTGCCTTGGACCCAGGTCATTTGCAGTGACATTGCATGAATGTTTGAGAAAGGTGACCCTGCTCAAGGACCAGGGTGGATCTGGGTTTAGGGTTGATCCTGCTGGGAATAGGGCAGTTCCAGGTTTAAGGTGGATCCTGCTGGGAATAGGGAGTATCCTGATGCCTCAGGTGCCTGCTCCTTGAGTTCCCTTTGAGTTCTCGCGGGATTCAGAGAGTATTTGGTATGCAGAGCCCGGTGGAGTGTGTGAATTTTCCCAGAACGTGCGTGTAGAGCCGGTGAGAGTCGGGAATAAAGAGTTGCTGTTTGAATCTACAAGGCGATGTGGTGGCTC